TTGCCACAAAACATCAGAAAACATCACAGCCCCCCCCCCTCCCCCGCAAAACGTTGGCTAGACCCTAGAGTCTATCCAATATCTTCAAATACTATTGGGGGACTTGTGGGCATGTGCAGGTGGGATCCCCTTGAAAAATTACGGTTACTAGCCTGCTCTACCCCCCCCCCCCCCCGACCAAAACTGTCTTTCTAGCTGGCTTCCTGTTTCACATGTATTTAAATAATGTTTTATTGTTGGTCTTGCTATTGGTGATATGCTTCTCAAAAAAATTTTTTTTGCATCTGTAATTATGTGTTTGAATTTCCTTAGTGGAAATGTGTGTACTTTTAACTTTTCATTTTGGTCCATTTTTGTGAAGGAAGCATTTCTGTTTCTAAGAACTTATTTATATGTAACTTTGGTGATGGTAGAGACTTCTATGGCATTATATTTTCATTAGTAATTGAAACCTCCCCACCGCACCACACACTTTTTTAAAAAGTCAGAAAGGTTGGGAGTTCCCTTGCTGCTTTCCCACGCGCATGTAAACTTGATGGCATTGTTTCACGTTCCCAAGATTTCCTCTGAGTATTTAAGTGAGGGGATGGTAACATCCACTATTCCTGCCAGGTAGCCCTTTGCAAGGTTTTTAGCCATGCATTTGCCATTCTGTGATCTTCCAACATACAAGACAACACTGTATGGCATGTCTCCCTGGGTCCAGAGAAGCATGATGGACACCTGCCAGGTGGATGATGGGGGGGGGGGAGAGAGAGATTAAGTCCAGTAGATTCTCCTCTCCCTCTAGAGCTAGGACAGTGGCAGCTGGGACAAATGAAGGGCCTTTCATCTGCTTCTGGGCTGTGGATGCACAACTTTATGTTATCCAAAGTATTGTGTGTGCTGCTACTATAGTCTACTAAAACTGCAAAATAGAGACCAGGAGGAGGAATTAGACTAGATTAATATATATTCAGGCTCAGTCAGGACATAGAGAAGAAACTAGATGGGAGAGAGACTGTAGGGCAGGCACCCTCAAACTGCGACCATGCAGCTGTTTGGGCCTTCAGCTCCCAGAATTCCTGACAATTGAACAAGCTTGTTGGGTTCTGGGAGTTGGAGGTCCAAACAACTGGAGTGTCGCAGTTTGAGGATACCTGCTATAGGGTAAACCTGTATTTCATTGCACAATAGTCGCACCCCATTTTCAAAGTGCCAAAATTGTATTTTTTCCTCAAGTAATATTTGCATCTTCAGTGAGACTGCTATTCAAAGGGGCAAGGACTCTGTAGCCACAGGGGAGAGATGGATGGGTGGGTTTTCACCTGCCCGATCGCCTTTCCATTCTAAACTACAGAGTCTTAGCTTGGCCAAAGCAGCCGTCCCTAGCTCTGAGGGGAGAGACAGGTGAGTTTTTACCACCCGTGCATGCTTCACCCCACAGGCACGCGGGCAACGTTGCAGCTACAAGCTGAGGGAAGCTCCATAGCGGATTTTTTTCCCCTCAAGTAATAGTTGCGCAGTTTTTTTAAAGGGAAGTGCAACCATTATCTGATGAAATACTGCATACTGTATGTTTCTTGTGTGATCTTTCATTGTCTTATGCCTGCTCATTTTATGGCATGTTTGTTAAATCATGTTTAACTACAGTTTTCAACAGTACTGGTCATTTTAAATGAGGTTTGTGTAGGAAACAGTTTAACTAGAATATATTTAGTGTAATTGTGCAGTTCTATTTCACATTACATATTTTTCTTACTGTTTGGATTCCTTGAAATCACTTAATTTGTTTGGTTCTGCTAATTATGTATCCATGCAAATAAAACAGCTTGGATACCATTGGAAGAATATCTGTGTCGCTTAGCGCACTGTGAATGAGTCCGTATGAAACTAAGCAAAGTATTAGACTAATAAGCTCCTTTGTTCCTTCTACATGCCAAATTGAGAAGACATTAACATACATCACTTTTCAAGCTGAATGCTGCATTCATTTTTAGCAGATGTCAGTAAATAGTGACTGACCCCTTCTATCAACCATGGGCATTTCAGCTTTGTTTTGTAATAGTTTGACAGGGCCAATGCAAAGCAAAGCAGGAAAATCAAAACTGAAATGAACATGTTGAAGTCCTTCATTTCCATAAGTCAGTTAACTGGCATTATTTCCAGTTATAATATCCAGCATGAGAGTATTTTAAGATAATAGCTGGAATTCTGTATTGGCTACTTAAGTATAGTGGACTAAGAAGCCTCTCCTGTCCCAACACCTGCAAGCCCGACAGACATGTTCTGACTGGCAGCAGAATTAACTCCCCTCCCCACCCCACCATTCATCTGGGTGCCCTGTAAAGTAGATTTGAGAGAGCTAACAATCCTGGTGATAGTGTCACAATTATGAAAAAGTAGCAATTGTGAGTATGGGACAGTTGTAGATTGAGTAAATCTGGGTAACTTTTGCATTCAGTTACAATAGTGAGACTCTTGTCATAATCATATATTCTCTCCAGCCCTACTTCCCCAATGATGGGGAGAAGGAGTTCCATTCTACCAGCTACGGAAATACAAGTGAATGATATTTGTGTCAAATTTTAGAGAGGCCAGAAGAGTTTACTAATTATATTTAACTAAGTATTAAACACAGAATTCTAGCCATTCTTTTTTAAACCAAGAAAAATGTGACAAACGATACAGAGCCTCACTGAATGCTAAGTATTTGACAAAGTTATAAATCAATATAGTTTCTTGAGCCAATTTACACGAATTCTTAGAAACGTGAAGATCTGACAAGAGTTGATTGAAATTGGATAGGTATATAATTAAAAATAATTGCATAAATAGGAGCAGCTTCTATTTTCATTTTTTTTCTGAAAATATTACTTACAATTGTTAACTGCTATCAATTCAGCTTCAATTTGTGACAACCCTATGAATGAGAGATATTCAAGTCACATCATCAATAAACCTGCTCAGAGTTGTTCCTTGATCAGCTCTATTCACCTATAATGTGAGTCCCCTCTGGGGTGAGAAAGGCAGGATAGAAATGTTGTAAATAAAATAAATAAATAAATTTTCTTGCTGACTTATCAAGCATTGTAATCTTTTCTAGTGAGTCTTTTCATGATATGTCCAAAGTAGTACAGCAGCCTTAGTTTAATTTACCTGCAATACAGATTGAGCACTCCTTATCCAGAACTGCAGAATTGTCCACATTTACTCACTACTGGTTTAGTATACACAATCCTAATTTCAAGCACAAAATTATTAAAATATTTATAAAATACCTTTAGGTTATGTGTAAATGAAACAAATAAGTTTCATGTTTAGATTTGAGTCACATCTCCAGGATACCTAATTCTGTAAGTATGCAAATGCAGGTATTCCAAAATCCAAAATACTACTGGTGCTAAGCATTTCACATAGGGGATACTCAGCCTGTGTTGCAGGAAAGTTATAGTTGAAGGTCCATTCCCTTTGCAAGTGTAGTGTAATTGAGAAAATGTCAAGAAGCTCAGCCAAAAAAGTCACATTTATTGACCTACCTATGTTAAAAGCCACAAGTTTATTTACCTTGCTACATTCAGCAGAATTTTCTCACCAAACTGTGTATCACAAAAAAGCTCCCAAGGGAAGAAAGACCCGGTCCGTTGACTTTCAAATGAAATTCTTGGTGTGTTTAACACATTTAATAGACATTCAATAATTGGTTTGTATAAATTTTAAGCACATGTGATAATGCAGTCCTCTTTCTGAGTTGCTCTGATGGTATGTTTAGTATGTTGTATTTCAGCAACTGCATGGCTATACAGTTACTATGTCTTCAACATGTTATTACAGAATTGGGGTATTGAAGTTTCATACAGAGAGGAAGTAATAAGTCAATAAATTTTACTCCTAAGATAGAAGCTACCAAAGTTCTTTTTTTTTAATGGAAATTGTGAGCATTGCACATATTCTGGTAAAGACAAATGCCTTTTCACTTGGGCTGAAATGCTTATGTTCATGTTAAATGCTTAGGTTAAATTTAATTAAAATAATAACATTATCCTAAAATAGAGTTGTAACATGAGAGTTATTAATCATTGTTGTAGACATGAAAAGACTTGTTATTATACTATACATTTAAATCGTAGTGTTGTTAATGAGCAAATAAGTCTCTGAAATTGTTTATCTTAAGCTTACCTATATGCATTTTAATTCTGTATTTTTTAGAAAAACAAGCAGATGTTTGCAGGTTTTGGGGGCATATTACTAATTTCTAAATGCTAGTATAACAACTGCTTGCAATTCTCCTGTAAGTAGGTATAACTAGCAAATTAGCAGTTGGATCATTTTCAGCGGAATTGAGATTTTTAAAAACTAAACATAAACCTGGAGAACTGCATATCTAGTTAAAAACAGTGCAAACACATAGCATTTTTTCTAGTTTCAGTCTTGGCACTAGATATCTATCCTGGAGTTTTAAATATTCTTCATCCTGTTCTTTTTTTATTAAGGTTAATGTTGAAGAAGGAAAATGCGGAAGTCGCCATTTGACAAGTTTTATAAATGAGAATTATTTGAAGCTCAGGAATAAGTGAAGCTGAAATTTGAAAAAAAAGAAAGTGAATGCATGCTAATTATCAGACAAGAAGTCCCACTTATAGAATATTGAGCAATTTGTGTGAAGTGGGGAAGATGAAAGAAGTCAGAATTTGAAACGGAAGAATGAAGAAAAGAAATAAAAATGAAGTTAAGATAAGAAGTAATCTGGAATCTGAAAGCACTACGCTAAGTAATTACTAGTCTGTTTATGTGTCCCTGTATATTTTGCTAAACATGCATGCATTATTTGTTTCATAAAAATGCAGGGTTTTTAAAAAGTGCTTAACAGGCAAAAATTTACAGTAATTCTAGGCAGTTCTAATGGTAACTGCCCGGACACATAATTGAGACATAGACCTTTAATATTTTTCACCAAATCTTGTTTAGAATAAATGATTGGGGAAGTTGTATTCAAACTAAATTATACTTTTTCTGTGCAGGAGTCCCGTTCCGCTTCCAGAAGTGGAAGCGCGCATGGTTCCGGCAAGTCTCCAAGGCACTCGCCAGCTAGATCTAGATCCAAAGAAGGTTCAAGGCGGTCCAGATCAAAGTCTAGATCAAGATCTGAATCTCGGTAAGTCTATAAGGCAAAATGTGTGGGGGTTTGTTTGGTTTTTACCTTAAAAGTTGTAATAATTCAAATACCTTACTATTAATGAGCAAAGATGGAGTTTGAAATCGAGTCTGGTAAGTTAATATCAATTGTTGTTATTGCATGCCTTCGGGGTGCTTCCAAATTATGGTTACCCTGAGGTAAACCTATCATAGGGTTTTCTTGGTAATAATTGTTCAAGGGGGGTTCGTTTTTGCCTTATTTTGAAACTGAAAGTGCAACTTCCCAAAGCTTGGCATAGTGGGCTTCCATGGCTTAGTGGGGATTTCAACCCTGGTCTCCAGAGTCATAGTCCAATGGTCAGATCACTAATCAGCCTGGCTACTGTACAAGAATAATAGCTCAGTTGATTAAATTGTTGTCTGCTTGGCATGTAGTAGCTGCTGTTGCAACGAGCGACCGTAGTTAAGGTTTCTCATGAAAGTAGTCACTTTCATTACTACTATAGGCGGAGTAACCCTTATCCAAAACACTTAGATTTCAGATTTGTTTTGTTTTATTTTGTAATATTTGCATATAGATAGTGTGAAATCTTGGAAATGAGACTCCAATCTAAATCACAAAGTTCTTGTATGTTTTATATACACTTTGTCCATGTAGCCTGAAGGTCATTTCTAAACAAAATATTTTAATACTTCATGCACAAAACAAAGTTTATGTACACTGAACCAAAGATAACACTATCTCAGTCACCTGTGTTGAAAATTCCAGATATTGCAGCATTTTGGATTTCTGCAAAATCTGTACTGACAATACTGATAGCTAAGTAACTTTTTGTGATTGAAATCCACCCTGAGTTCCTTCGGGGAGATACAAGTAAAGTTTGTGCCATAGGATGCAGCTCATTATGACACAGCATTCCATGAATAATCTGTGCACTTACCTTTTCTGTTCTGTTGCCTTGAAAACGGAATTATCATAATCTAGTATTTATGAGCATCTGAAACTGGTATTCTTGATAAATAATTACATTTGAATAACATGTTACTTCACAAGTGACACTAACTTTTGTACCTCTCATTCAAGGTCCATAAATCATTAGGTTAAAAAATCCTTTGAAAAACTGACTCTTGTTTTCTTATGAATTTTAATGTAAACTTTCAATCATTCTTATGATGTTTGTTCATCTTCTGGATATATGCTTTGGGAATTTCTATTTAACAACTGTAAAATGGAAGTCTTGCAACATGGCTTGTCTGGTAAAAGCAGGGCTTGTCCCAGCAGTGTGATGAAAACTAAAGTAAGCATATGAAAACTGCTGTGTTTACAGTAGGTTTCATTATGCTTATGGGTTGTGTTGTTGTTGTTTTTTTGTAAACACGGGTAGAATAATATAAATTTCAATAATAATTTAATAGTACAAACAGAATGCTTTTACTTAATTTTATTAGCATTACCAATTCCGCACTTATATCCTACTTGTGTCTACCAATATTACTCCCCTCCCTCCCCACTCTCCGGAAACAGTACTTTCCTTCGTTCAGATATTATTTTAGTTGATCAATCGTGAAGAGAGTTCAGTTCAGTTCATTATCTTTCCTTTTCCTCATATCTATCAATATCCCCTATTTCTAATCCCACTTCTTAATTCGACCTGTTGTGTATTTGGTTCTCTTTTCGAATATGTAGTCCTGGAGCATGAAGTCCGCTAAATATGCAAACCATTTTTTAAATTTCCCACTTTCTGTCCAACACCTCTTGATTAAAGATTCTCTCAGTAGCTCCTAATACCTCTACAACAGTACTTAACAACAAGAATTACTGATTATATTATTGTCTTTTGAAGTTTGGTTATCAACTGGAAACAGTATATATTTTAAAGATTCTGTATCACCTTTCACCAGTAGATGTGGTTGATAAATATAATATGTAAACAATAATACACAATGTAACATAAATTCAAAAATACCTTCAAACATTATTTCAAATGTAAACAATTTATATAAGGGTAGACAACTACAGATTCAGGGGCCTCACACACTACCTGAAAGTATCTCATGTCTCTTCCAGGCTCCACAGTTTGTGAAAGTATTACCCACCCCACACAATAATCATACTGTATTTAAGAACCTTCTGTCTTGTTCAAGTCACAAGGAACCATTGTGTGTGAGGATAAAGAGTAGGGTGTGCAGTAGATGGCAAAATTGTCTCAGTTTCCTTGGGAAATGAGGGGTTTCCCTCCATAAATGCTTTAAAAAAAATCGAATTTGGCGTCTCATCTATATATATAAAAATGCTCTGTCCGTAATGAGTACCCTAAAAGCAAAAAAACTACGGGCCCAAATGACCCCAAATTTGGCAACAAAAGTCCTCACAATCCAAGGAGTGACTATCACTGAAAAAAACCTCACAAAAACACCTTCAAAAATTCAAAAGAGGAATAAGACAATACACCTCCTCTGTCCCCCCTCGTGCTGAGGACACAGAATGAGGGTTCCAAAGCAGCGGTGGCGGCAATGGTTGCTGCTCCCTGCGTGTCTCTCGGCCCCTAACTAACACTAAGGCAAGGGATCAAAGGGCAGAGGGGGAGGGGAGAGAGGGGAGAGGAAAAAAGAGGGAGGGAGGCCACACTCTGTACACACACTCTATCTCCCACACACACACTCGCACAGCACAAGGGAAGGAGGAAGGTGCCATGATGGGGGTAATAGAGACACATGAAACTGACATTGCTTGGAAAGGAGCCCCAAAGACCACCCAGCCCAACCTCATTTGGCAGTAAAGGAAGACACAATCAAAGCCCTCACAACAGATAGCCAACCAGTTGGAAGGGAGCCCTAAAGGCTATCCCGTCCAACCCCCTCCTTCCTTCCTTCCCTCCCTCCCTTTCTCTACTTCCCTTCTCCTTCCCTTCCTTTCTTTCCTTTTTCTCCTCCCCTCACCAGCTTCATTCTCCTTTATTAAATCTACAGTGTAGATGCACCCAAAGTCAACCCATCCAGATTATCTACTTAGGACTGGATTATATGGCAGTGTAGACTCATGCATACACGTGCACACACACACATATATGGATGGATGTTGGATCACAGGTTGGTAATTATATATATATAATTACAATACTTTATACATATATATTATATTATATATAGGAGCCCCCGGTGGCGCAGTGGGTTAAATCCCTGTACTGGCAGGACTGAAGCCCGACAGGTCGCAGGTTCGAATCCGGGGAGAGGCAGATGAGCGCCCTCTATCAGCTCCAGCTCCTCATGCAGGGACATGAGAGAAGCCTCCCACAAGGATGATAAAAACATCAAAAAAAAATCATCCAGGCGTCCCCTGGGCAACGTCCTTGCAGATGCCAATTCTCTCACACCAGAAGCGACTTGCAGCTTCTCAAGTTGCTCCTGATACGACAAATATATATATAATTGTTATATATACTACTATATAATATAATGTTGCTACTATGTTACATAGACTCATAGAATAGAGTTGGAAGGGACTCTACCATGGTACTAGGGGAGAACAGATAGGAAGGAAAGGCAGGAAAGAGGTAAAGAAGGAAGGGGAAGAAAAAGGGGGGAATAGGTAGGTACCTGTCTTTCATAATAGTGCAGATATCTACCTCTACTTCAAAAATTCTTACTATAGGCCACAGCAACGCATGGCAGGGCACAGCTAGTATGTCATTCAGCACATCACTATTTGTTTGAGTTCACAGACAGAAGTTCATCTGACTCTTTTCTTAACGATGTTTAGTGAGGAACATCTTATTTTGACATACCTTCAGTACTAATGAGTTGTATCTCAGATTGGTGGTCTCTGAGAGTGCTGGTTTTTGCTTATTTGTAAAGCTTTTGCTCTATTTTTATCGTAATTGAATGTCTGGTCTTTCTGTGTGCATCAATTAAAATATATTACCTTTTAAATATGCTTTAGAGAACCCCTTTTAGTTGAAAATAGTTTATTTGCTTTCAATGCTACAAATAGTTTATGAGTGACTTATCAATGTTTGGTATCTATGCTTCAGTATGCTATTTTGGATTTTCATTCTTCACAGATCGAGATCGAGGAGGAGTTCTCGTAGACATTATACAAGATCACGTTCACGTTCTCGATCCCACAGAAGGTCAAGAAGCCGATCTTACAGCCGTGACTATCGTCGCCGACACAGTCATAGCCATTCTCCTATGTCTACTCGTCGGCGTCATGTTGGCAACAGAGTAAGGCAGGGATGGCAGCAGTTGACCAGAGATAATTCAGCTGTGTGTGTCTTTGGAGGTTCTAAAGTTTTCAAATTACTCAGAAATAATGTTAAAACTAACTTAAAACTGTTGTGTTTTTTATACAATTATGATGATGTGCAAAAATGTTGACTTTATATTATTAATATTATGTATGATTTTATCCAGTATTATTATGTTGCAGAGGTGGGGGGCTGCCAGCAGTTGGAGGGGGAGGTCAATGGCCTTCTGTATAATCTCAGTTTGACTTCATTGTTAAACAAAAGTTTCTCCTAAAATTAAAACAGCCAAGAGAAGGGGATATAGTGATATTGGCAGTGCACCCCTAAAGTGTGATGTAGGCTCTAATTTTCTTTTTAAAATCCTATCAGAAAGGGGCAAGGCTTGAGAGCCTCAAAAAGGCTGCATACTGTTTGCAGAATGGCCTTTCCTGATTCTCATGCTGTTAGTTCAGAAACATTTAAGCAAAGCTTTGCTTTGAAGTCTTTGTGACTCCTAAGAGCTACATGTGATTTTTCTGTTGCTTAGATCAAAACTTCTTAAAAGTGTGGGTCATGACAAATTCCTTAGAAGGCAGGGCCAACAAAGAGGAGGCGAAGGGGAAAAAAGAGGTGTCCTTTTCTAAACAGGAGCAGTTTTCCTGTTGCCTCTGCTTGCCTTAGGGATAAATGGGAGGGGTCAAGGAGGAAGGGAGGGCTTCATTGGGGACCCCAGCCTTGAGGGATGTGGGATGGAGGGATAAAACGTACCTCCTGTCCCTGGGTCTTCCTTTACCTTCCCATCTTGGGAGCCTGGGCGTTTTCTTTTTCATCATTGGAGTCTGGCCATTTTTCCTTTCCATCTTGAGAGTCTGAGGTTTTGTCCTTTTCCTTCCAATTCTGGGAGTCTGGAATTCTGTCCCTTCCTTCCCATCTTTTGAATCAAGGGGCTCTCCCCTTCTCATTTTGGGAATCTGGGGACGGTGTCCTCATCTTGGGAGCTTGTCCGCCCCCACCCCGCCCCCCAAATCTTGGGAGTCTGAAGTTTTTTCCTGTTTTTTCAACTCTAGGAGTATGGAATTCTTTCCTTTCCATCTTGGGAGTCTGGTTGGGAGTGTTTCTTCATCTTGGGAGTCTCAGGAGTATTTCATTCCCTTTTCCCATCTTGGGAAGTATTTTAGATATCTGGGGTCACATATACATTTCTCAGACAAAACGTGATTGCAAGTGGAAAAGGTTTTAAGACACCCTTGCTTACATAACACATTTTCTCTAGATTAAAAAAAAACAGTAAGGCTTCTGACATAAGAGCTACAACTATTGGCCAGATGAATTTAGTTCCGCCTCTTTGTCAGGCATAGTACATTGGAGAACATACAAGGGGGAAATGCTAGTAAATTTGGGAGTTGAGAGGATCCCTTACAACTGCAGCTTCTAATACTCCATTAAGATACACTACTTTATGCAGCAGCTGTATGTACCATAAACTCTTTAAGTTGAGCTTGAGGATTACTTCCCATTTTCTGGTACTTTTTACTGTTTTCAAGCTTAGCATGTGTGTTGAGGAGGTTTGAGACGCATAGGTTTGAGCCAGAATATAGTATTTTCCAGGACACCTGTGCCTCATTAGGCCTTCCTGTGTCATATTTTGTCTTTTGTTTTGAAGAACAGAATTGCACTGAGAGCTGACCTATCTGGGGCTTTAGTAATAATGCTTTAGATTTTAAAATATGTCTGCATTAAATAAGGAATGGCATTTTATACTATTTCTCAAAGCATTTTAATTATTTGAAGAGCCATCTTGAATTCTTATAAGGATGTCTTCTTTTATTTTTTATTTTTTTTAAAAAACAGGCAAATCCTGACCCGAACTGTTGTCTTGGTGTGTTTGGATTAAGCCTATACACAACAGAAAGAGATCTGAGAGAGGTATTCTCTAAATACGGCCCAATTGCTGATGTTTCTATTGTGTATGATCAGCAGTCTCGGCGTTCTAGAGGATTTGCCTTTGTGTATTTTGAAAATGTTGATGATGCCAAGGAGGTAAGTGATTGTCTTTTCATTTAATTTAACTGTTCTTTCTTTAAATTTTTACATAAAAGGTACATACATATTTTAATGGTTAGAAAGTAGAAATTAAATATTTTAAAAAATAGTTCTCCAGATATAACAAAAGAACAGTCTACAGGATTGGGTTGTTCTTGCATGTTAGCTCACGTAGCAGTAGTTCCAATCTCAAATTTCATTAATACAGTTGACTCCTGCATGTTCACCTCATTTTAAAATTGGCTGAATGGTTGGCTACCCAGACTTTTGCCTTCATTATCAGTTTTGAGTGATGGATACCTCTCAGAAAAGAAAGAAATGTTTTGGGGAAGAGATAATTTCTGTGGAAGCATCAACACAAGTGCAGAAAAGAAATAGCATCAGAAAGATATGGAGAAACATTTGTCATCAGTGGCTGCTCCCCAATATGTTGTGGTTGAAGGAAATAAGATTGGAAATCATGCCCAGATGGCGTAGGCCTTTGAGGCAGACAGTGAGATGATATTAAAGGGAATATTTCTTGACACAAATGAGTGATTCAAGGAGTCTCTCCCAAGTGAAATTGCAAAAAAATGTGAGTTGGTTTCATGCACCTCCAGAACAATCTAATTGGTTGAAGTAGGGTGTGTAACTTAACAACTTCATAAAATATGTTAAACTGACAGATAATGTCTCCAAAGCTACCCAGTGAACTTTTAATTGAGCTTTGAACTTGACACTCTCTAGATCTACTCCAGCACCAAATGCAATTCCAAATCACAATTTTATCTGCTTAGAAGAGGGAGGTATATTTGTAAAATTGATAGTATTTCTATTTGACTCTTCATTTTCATGCTTCCCATATTTATTGGTGTATAAGTTGACCTCATGTCAACTTATACACCAAGGGGTCAAAAATACAGATTTTGATATGACTCTTGAGTAAGTCGAGAGTAAAAATTTAGGAGCATGTAACAGTGTAAAAGGACAAAGAAAGGAGGGAAATGCCAGTGATTGCTTAATGCTATGTGTGAAAGAGGCAGCCAGAATTTGATAAGAATTAAGGTAAAGTACTTGCATTGACCCATGGATAAGTTGATCCAGGATTTCGGGGTCACTCTTTTGATGAAAATTTGTAAGCATGTACACAAGTATATACACAGTAGCTGCTAAATGGAATTGTTTTCTGGGGGAGTGGGGGGAGAGAGTAGCATAATTACATATTCTAAAACCAGAATAATTACAGGGTGGAAATATTTTCCAAGATAGTAAATATCCTTATTGTTAATATTATCCCAAATATTCATAATTTACTAAATTGATTTATTTATGACCAATTGTATCATTCTTGCAATGATGAGGAATTTATTGAGTTTTTTTTCCTTTTGCTTATTAAAACAAACTATAATTCTTTGCAAAGTTTGTTAATTTAAATTATAATACAATACCCCAAACTGAGCTTACTAGTTAATAGAAAACAGTATTTCTCCAAATTTCTAGCTATTATTCCTGTAAGACCTGTAAACAATTCTGGTGAAGTAGTATTTCCTTACAGAACATTATCTCTAGGCAACAGAAGGTATGTGTATTGTCGAAGGCTTTCATGGCCAGAATCACTGGGTTGCTGTAGGTTTTTTTGGGTTTTTATGGCCATGTTCTAGAGGCATTCTCTCCTGACGTTTCGCCTGCATCTATGGCAAGCATCCTATATGCTACAAAATGATCAAGGTTTTTCGCACAGGCCACATGGAATGCAATTACTTTGTAGATGCTATATAGGATTGGTCTTTATGTACATTAAGTTGATTTAGTGAAAATCACCAAATGCTATTTTGCAGTTAGTAATTTTTCTATTTGCTTAAGAAGCTGCACAGAGTCAGTTTTAGTGAGTACCAACAAATACCAGGTGATGTATGAGGAAGGTACTATCACGCCACCATAAGTGTACAGGCAATTTGTATACACATAATTGTTCTGCCATGATATCTGATTAATTGAACTAAACAAAGCCAGTGTGAAATAGAACCAGATGTGTAGCTGGTAGCAGTTTCAAACTGAAAATGAAGATCATATTTTAAATTTGCGAAATGTTTAGTTATATTTCTATATATCTTTAATTTTGATCAGAGTACATAAATGTTCTCAAAATACGTTATCCATATATTTTGGTGTATTAGCCTCAGCCAGTGTAATCTCTGGCCTCTGGAGAACATCTAGTTAAAGAAAGTTGATCTAGATTAGCACAGAGAAAAAATAATAGAGAGCCTGTCAGCCATATGTACTGATTGGGTAGTGTGGGGGAGGGGGGGCTACAACAGGGAAACTGTTTCCAGAAGCCTTTAAAGCAGGCCTCTTCAATATGCAGCCCTCCAGGTGTTTGGGACTCCCAACTCCCAGAAACCCTAGCCAGCTTGTTCAATAGGAATTCTGGTAGTCCAAAACACCTGGAAAACCACAGGTTGAAGAGGCCTGATTTGGAGGCATGATTCGACTTTTTAAAAAATTAGCAACATTCCCTTTTTTAAAAAAAAATTGAAATTACCTTGTCAGTTCCTTTTGCAAAAGAAGTGCTGGTGCCTGACCAAGCCTTCTGGGGTTGCTCATTTCTGATAGGAATTGTGGAGCTGCTAATTAAATTGTTAATCTTTTCTGGTTGCCTTAAATTACAATCCTTCATATGTTGGAAGCACAGACTATGGCTTACAATTTTTCTAACAAACCCGGCATTAGGAAAGCAACTTGAAACTCTGAAAAAAGGTTTGGGCAGAATTTTTCCTATGGTAGTAAACAGTTTCCCTGTCAAATATGTTGTCATTCCTGCTAGTAGACTTTGCTCCTGATTTGAATTAAATTGAACTTTACAGTAATTATGTTTTTGTCACACATATATAGGCCAAAGAACGTGCAAATGGAATGGAGCTTGATGGGAGAAGAATTAGAGTTGATTTCTCAATAACAAAAAGGCCTCATACACCTACCCCTGGAATCTACATGGGAAGGCCGACTTAGTAAGTTCTTGTAAACATAATGTATATGAAGCAAAATTGCCTTCAGCCCATTGCCTTCAAGTTTACAAAAAAGTGTGAAGGCAAACGGTGGGAAAGGGTTCTCTGATCTCATGAGATAAAAAGAATTATCAAAAATGTTTGTTGTGCAAAGCTAGCAACATTCATTGCCCCTGAGAACCCCATTCCCATAGTGAAACATTGTAGCAGTACCATATTGAGGGAATACCCTTCCTAGTAAACTAGTTGCATTGGATAGATACAAATATTAGGGAATTCTGGGGGGGGAGACAGTTTCAGTCTGCAAAGGATTTGGGCCTGGAGCCCAGGTTAATCTTCTGACAGCAGAATGGACTTAAGTATATAGCCAGAGCAACACTGACATGATTAAAAACTAAAACCTGAATGTTTTAGAAAAGCCCACATAAAATTTAGAGATTAGTCCAATTGAAGGGGGAGCTGTTCAACAGTCCCTATCCACCCTGACAGACTTGGAACAATTTTGCCAAGAAAATGGAGTTAGATCCGTTTTCCATTCCAGGTTGCAATTATTTTTTCATATATATGTGTATGTATTTTGGTTATCATATTAATAGATGAATGTAGACTTCACACGTCCCTCATATCATGTTATGTCATCTTCTTTAACAGTGGCAGTTCTCGGAGAAGAGATTATTATGACAGAGGTTATGACAGAGGATATGATGACCGTGAATATTACAGTAGATCATATAGGTGAGCTTCCTACTGATTGCTGCTTGATTAGATTGTGTGGATCCTTTTGAATGCAGTATACCACTTTGTAATATAGTTAGTTGTGCTTTACAAGTGATGTAATTCTCTATTTGGGCTCTTGTCATCTTAGTAGATGTCATACTAGACTTGTAAATTCCTTATTAGCCTTATTAGTATCCAGGAATTGGTATAGATTGGCAGCTCTTTATTTATTCTCTAGCTATTCTTCACTGTGGTGATATATCAACAGCAGGAAAATGCCAGACTACCCTAACACCAAAATATTATTTTCATCTCCTGATACTGGAGAATTTAAAAGGCCCTATTCAGGGAATAACAATTTGGGTGAAAAAATATATACAGAGGGGAAATGCAGTAGCCCTCATCACTTAACATGTGGAGGGCAATTTTCTCAAGACCAGAATCTTGATCTGAGTTTTGCAATTTCATCTGAAACCCTTTTGGAGGACACTATCTGTTCAGAACATCGTCTTCAATTGAAGGAAGTGGCAGAGGTCACAGTTGAGAGAGCAGCACCCCTGTGCTCTATCCACTTCTACATCCCTTTTGAAAATTTAGAACAGGATTGTTTGCATCTTTTTCTATCCTATTACATTCTATCCCATTCCATCCAACATATGGCTCTTTACTGAACATAATCCTTTATATGAATCATTTGTACAGGAAAAATAGAATGAATAAAAGTGTAAAATTCTGTTTTGTTTATGTCTCCACAGAGGAGGAGGTGGTGGTGGTGGCGGAGGAGGAGGTGGCGGAGGATGGCGAGGTGCCCAAGACAGGGATCAGATGTACAGGTATGCTAGAAGAGGACCTGGTACTTAAAAAATACGCAGATATTGGTGAAATGTTCTGCTGGATTAGTGGTCAAAGATCTAGGTCAGTGGTTCTCAACCTGGGGTCCCCAGATGTTTTTGGCCTACACCTCCCAGAAATCCCAGCCAGTTTACCAGCTGTTAGGATTTCAAGGGAGTTGAAGGCCAAAAACATCTGGGGACCCCAGGCTGAGAACCACTAATCTAGGTCCTATTATAGCTCCAGAATCATTAGGCATTATCTGATTTTTCCAGCACAACCCTTTATGAGTCACAAAGTTCCTGAAAGTATATCTGATGATCATTTAACATGATTGAGTTTACACTTGGAAAGTTCACTGTTGCAGAAAAGTACTGCAGAACATTTGAGCTTGGAGCTCAAAGTCTAACATGGCATAAAAATGCTATTCAGACTATACAAGTGTTGCATTCTGAGACCAAAGTATTTTCTGATCTTGGTATCCTCAATAAAAGGTGATGGCAGCAAACTATTTTTACACCTTATGATGCTGTAACCTCATTGAAATGTAATTTGAGAAATAACAAGTGACTGAACTTTAACCATCAGTTTCATCTCACTCCAAAAACACCATACTTCAAATAAATATGTTATTGCAGAAAGTACCACATAAAAGAATTAGTATTTACTTTGGCCTAACTTTGGTGTTGTGATCGGACTTCCTTCCCCATTCTGGCCCTTTGCATCACTTTGAACCACTGGAAAAACAGTTATGGAATGTTTTCAGTCCCCTGGAGCAGGATTTTGAAGTTCCTGGGAAGTATACACACACATTTCATATGACATACATATCTATGTTCACTCTGCTGTAACTAGGGGGTTTAATATTCTTACTAGTTTATTTGTGTTGCTGTTCATGCAGTAAAATATTCATCTTAAGAGTTATAAAAATAGCACTGAATATAACTGAGACTCAAGTTTTTAAAATGTAGATATTTCTTGCGGTATGTCTACTTCAGTAAAATGACTTTATAGTAAAGAAATATCAATTATCTGACAATACATTTTGGCTGTTGGGGTTTGTATCTGTTCGGGTCTACTTGTAAATACATAACTCAAACTCATTGCTGAATTTCTTCTTCAGGAGACGATCACCATCTCCATATTACAGCCGAGGAGGCTACAGGTCTCGTTCTCGTTCTCGATCCTATTCACCTCGTAAGTGACATCTAAAATATAGCTGGAGCCATTCCATCTTCTCTGACTTATGGCAACTCTGCCACATGGTTTTCTTGGTTCAGTTCAATGTTCACACCACTATACTATGGCGGCTCTTGCTTAGAGCCAAAACAGATTTATCTTAACTTGTTTTCAGGGGTCTGATGTACCCTGATTCTGAATGGGGAAGTGAAGTGACCAGATGGCTAAACTATTTGGAGTTTATTCTGTTCCCAGCAACTTTTAAAAAGAAGTTGTGGTTGGGCATTCACGTGTGCACATAAACTCATTTGAGGATCATAAGGGAAGCTGTGTCCAGGAGAGCCTTGCAATAGACTAGAGATCTCACTGGATCTCTATAGTCTATTTTAAATGTTCTCTGGCTGATCAAGAGTCACAGTAGGAGAGGGAGTTATTCTAATCTAAGGGAAACAGGAAATACCAGTGAAACATGCCCGCCCACCCCCTCTACACTTCCATCAGCAAGAGCCTGTGCTAGAGCAAAGACTTAGAATCCTTTTAGCCTTCTACATGAGTATATATAGTAATGCACTACTACTCAGTGGTGATCCCCTGACTGGTACCAGTCCTTGGTCAACTTCCAGGACAATGGGGTGAAATGTGGTACTAGTCCCTGGCATATTGGGAAAAATATAACTGCCTACATATGATAGGTTAGGAAGCACTAGTTTTAATGCAAATGAAGGGAAATAACTGTCACAACTAGAACTTTGGCTTGAATCTAGTTAGTTGCAACTGGAGTTGATTTGAGTGGAATTGACAGAAGCTGATTTTACCATTTAGCAGTTGATTCAACTGCTGTACTCTAGTTGGATCAGCAATGTAATTTAGACTGTTGCATTTTGTTGTGCCCGATATTTACCGTATTTTCTGGCATATTTGACTACTTTTTAACCCAAGAAAATCTTCTCAATGGTGAGGGGTCGTCTTATACACCGGGAGTCGTCTTATAGAGCGGGGTGCTGAAACTTCCAATCCAGATTGGAGAATCTATGGTTGACACATATGGTGGGGGGAGCTCAAAAATGGCAGTGGCTGCATTCCTGCCGTATGCAGCGACTGAAAGCATTAAGGGCGACGCCATACAAGTACGGTAGAAGAAAATCCATTCATCAGGATTCGTGGACTTAATGGTGAGGTGAAGGGGCGCCTCACCGGGAAGGTGAAAGTGAAGGGCGGAGCAAGCTGCAGGCATCCAGGGCACCCGGGGTATGGAAAAAAGAGATAGAGTGGCTCTGGGCCCAGAAAAAAACAACTCTTTTACCTGTCTGGCCCGCCCTTGTATCGTATCACCATACCTCCTCCTCTGCCTCTCAGATCTTGCTATGTATAGCTTTGAATTAACTTCCTTTTGAAGATACAAAATTGCATATGCTCATTATTCTAATAGAACTCTTAATCTCTTTATTTTGCAGGTCGCTACTGAGGTATGAACCTGAAGACTTTGTAGCTACAGACATTTCTTTGAGATTGCAAAATTGTGGACTATATTTTGTTAAAGTTTAATAGTGCCTAGTGAAATAGGTGGCTTTTACACCTTTTATGGAGACTACTTTTGGTCAAGTTTTAAAATGCTGTTTTGTTCTGCATATTTGTGTAGTTGGTGCTTTGTTCAGAGTGGTGTTTTGAGAAGAGTCTGTCTTCCCGCATGTGTTTTAGTCCACACTTTGCAAGAAGGAGTTCTGTTGTCCAACATTCTTAATTCTTCCCTCCCCCTCTCCCCAGTTTACGGGGTATTTTGAAGATCAAAACCTGTGTAATATGCTTTGAAATGGTGGCATAATAAAAAAAGTTTTTTTACTTAGTTTGAAGCTCATACTTCCTGTTTAGTAGAAGTGAACCAGAGAAAGAACCAAGTACTTAGAAATTCAGAGTAAAATGTAGTGCACTGGCTGCCCTCTCCCATCGCTTTCTGTAATATGACGTCTGAATAAAAAGTCCATATTTTAATTTTGTATTGTACATAAGGTAAAATTTTTGTAACAGTGGTTGTAAGCTGCCAGAAATGTGGCATTATGTCCATTTGTGTTACAAGAATGATTATGAGGTGTTATTAAACAGTTCACAAAGCAGTCTGTAACTCTTGCGGAAATACCTTGCATTGCCCTAGGAGCTGACAAAACAGCTCTAGCTGCAACTTTAAAAGAACCCTGAGTTGAAAATTGACTTAGAACTCAACAGACTTTGGAGCCTTCATGAATTATTCACAGAACACATAATCTGTTGTTTCCAATAAGTAGGTGTTCAAATGGAATTTTCTTGGTTCCCACTCAACTACATATTAATAGCTTTGTAATAGTAAAGATAAAGGTTTCTCCTTGACATTAAGTCTAGTGGTGTCTGATTCTGAGGGGTGGTGCTCATCTCAATTTCGAAGATGAAGAGCCGGCGTTGTCTGTAGGCACCTCCTAGGTCTTGTGGCCAGCATGACTGCATGGAGTTCCATTACCTTTCCACCAAAGCAGTACCTATAAAAGTGTTTTACAAGTCTTGGGCGTGCCAAGCAGAAGTGACTGGCTTAATGGCAAAACTGTCCCCTTTTTATTTATGGCAGCAATGGCAACAAGCTCGGAACAGGATTGTGAAATATCCAGGCAGCATATGCTGAAGTGGCTGTTTCATAGTGCCTCAAAATGCATCTCAGCAAAGTTATCTCAAATGGTTTGATTACCAGGGGGCAGGGGCGGAGTTGCATTTAAAATTCTATTTAAATGGTGAATCTGGAGAGAATCCAATTTGGGGTTAAAAATGGTTTTAGGTATGCCCTTCCAAGGTCTGGGGTAATTTGAAAAGGCCCGCAAAAACTCAGCAGTTACCCTAGCTCATTGCTTCTTAAACTATGGGTTCCAACCCTTAGCCCAATGTTGGGGTTACAGAAAAAATTGAAAAAGTAAAAAAGTTTCTGAATGCCACACTTTAGCAACATCATGCAGTATTTACAGTGGATTCTGCAGAAAATGTTCATCTGTGCTCCATAAAAAGGAGAATCATCCTGTTTAGCAAGCCTCACAAATACCGATTTATAATGTTGGGTTTTTTATTCATATGTCATACACCTGGGGTCATGTAAAAATGATTTCTCCTTGCTTTCTTAGGAGAATGGATCCTGTTCATTCCTCTCCTGACCTCAATAGAAAAAAAACTACACTTCTGTCCTACTATGTGAACTTATTTAGCACAGCAAAACTAGAAAGTTGTTTTATCACTTTATAAAGCCCTAAATCCAATTTAGCCTCCTAGAGTAGACACATCATTTAGGATTTGGTCAGTAAACACATGTAGGTTCTATTGACGCAAAAAGTATAGTATACTTGCAACAAATTTGATATCACCACAGTAGAAATAGAGAAAGATATCGCAGGCAATAAACGCGGATTGATTTTGCAATGAATTGGCTGTACAGGAAAGCTTCAGAGAGAGCTTTTTGAATTTAATGTTTGATCATTTTTGTCATGTTTCTAAGCAGGGCAAATTCTTGTCATCAGAATTAATAAAATTGATATAAGAATAATAAAATTTAAGTTGACTGTTTTTCTACATACGTAGCTCAATATAGCAGATTGTAAGGTGTATAAGGTGCTAAATATTTTTGTCATAAGCTGAGCTTTTGTTCACTACAGTAGTATTTGTATAGAGACCAACCATATCAACACGTTCTACTATGTAGTCTTTTTACCTTCTTCTAACTATTCCTCTTTAAATTAAGATTTGGATCCCGTTACAAACCACATATTAGGTGTGGTAAAAAGATGAACCAATTTGCTGCTTTGCTTGTTGTTTTGGGGGGTGGAGGGGAGGCTGTGTCTTTAAAACAGGCACAGAGAAATGGGGTAAATATGCCTCTACAACCCTTAGAGCACCAAGGGGATACCTTGAATATGTAAAAATATTAGAAGGTATGACACTTGGATGTCTCATAAAGTGTTGGTGGGACTCCTAGACTTCAACAATGTGACATTGAACAAACACTTGCGTTTTCAAGTCATTTCTGACATACACAGGATTTTCTTGGCAAGATGAAGGGGTTTACCATAATCTTCCTCTGAGGTTGAGAGATTGTGGTTGGCCAAGGTCACCCAGTAGGTTTTTATGTCCAAGCATGGATACAAGCTGGTCTCCAGAGTCATAGTCCCAACACAAACTATGCCACACTGGCTCCACATATACGGAGACCTATTCTCAAAGACATAAAATGTAAATACTTAAACATGAGCAAAATTCAGCCCACTAGATGTGATTAGGCTTCAACTTTCATTTGCCTTAGTTAACAGCAACGATGAAAGCTGGTTCCGACCACAAGCCCAACCCGTTTTAAAGCAATGAAAGATGAAAATCCTAGCAAGCTGCACTCTATAGCTTTTGCTATATTACCGAACACACAACCTTAACCAAATTTCCTGAGTATGAATATGCTGATAAAGAACTTCAGATCCTTTGAATGCAGTTACCTGTGATTATTTTTTTTTCGTGTCAGAAGTGACTTGAGAAACTGCAAGTCACTTCTGGTGTGAGAATTGGCCACCTGGGTGTTTTGATATTTTACCATCCTTGTGGGAGGCTCCACCTGTGAAATGCTTGGGAGCCATAAGCCACTCTGGGCATGTAAAATATTTTTGGATAGAAAAGGGGTTACATATATGAAATATAAATAGAATATGGTTTTCATCACTAGACTCGTCTTTGTGTATGTTTTGATTCCCTCCCCCCTTATTAGCGCAAATACAAATCAGCACTGAAGAATGGTCAGTTTTCAGAACAATCAATAAATGTGGTCTAGCACTGGCTAGCAAAAGTGCTGACTGGCAGTCCAATCCTCAATATTTAAAAATATACCACAATTAGTGAGTCAATGTAGGTTTGTTTGTGTTTTTTGTTTTGTTTGTTTGTTTTGTTTGTTTTTTGCTGTCTCTTGTTTATTGGCTGTCATTAGACTAGGGAAATGTCTATATTGAAGAATTAATGTAGTTTGGTACCACTTTATCATGGCTCAATGCTATGGAATTTGGAGAGTTGTAGTTTCGCAGTCTTCAGCCTTTTCCATCAAAGAGTGCTGTTGCTTCCTCAAACTACAAATCCTGGGATTCCAGCATTGAGCCATGGCACTTAAAGTGATGTCAAATAGCCTTGAGCCATGGCATGTAAAGTGGTGTCAAGTAGCATTAATAGTATTAAGTGTACGGCCAGCTTAAGGGGCTAATGAGCTTCAAAGCATTACTAAACATTCTTCTTGTAGCTAAGAAAAATAATCCCTATAGACACAACTTTCTGTGGGATTTGGGGAGTCGGATCTGATCTCAGATAAAATCTCCTGGGTTTTTATAACAATTGGATATTTATGTATTTCTATTTACGACATTCATATCCCACCCTTCTCACCCTGAAGGGGACTCAGGGCAGCTTACATTTTTATTTACATTGTCATTTATTTATTTGTTTACATCTTTATTTAGCTTTGCATCCAGAGAATCCTCAGCTTTTGCCGTAGACATGCTTATATTGTCTTGCTTAAATTTACTTTTTGCCAGTTTCGAGTCAGTACGTGGATACTGCTAAGATATTTATTGCAACACCTAAGTTCCTAAGACTGAATGGATAATTGGATGGTGTTAATCTATTCACCTTAATCCATGATGCCACATGCTGTTTCTGCAACCTTCTTCTTTATTCAACTGAAAGCTCATGGAAATTTTCCTGACCAAATGTGAAATATGGCATGGTGGCCACATCAGGCAGCAGATGGAAGGACAACACACACAATATTCATCCTGTAAGATGAATTCAAAGCAATAATAATAATAATAACAACAACAATAACAACAACAATACCTTAAAGGCATTGGATTATATGGAGAGATGAGAGAAGCTTCCCAGAAGGATGGTAACACATCCAGGCATTCCCTGGGCAACGTTTGTAGACGGTCAATTCTCTCACACCAGAAGCAACTTGCAGTATGTTCTGAAGTCACTTCTGACATGATTTCAAAAATTGGATTATATCTCATCTTGGAAATAAAACAGGGTCAGCCCTGGTCATACTTGGATGAGCGACAGCCAACAAACACTAGGTGCTGTAGGCTATATTTCAGAGGAAGAAACTACCTCTTGAGTATATCATGACTAAGAAAACCCTATGAAAAATTCATGTCAAAAACACAAACATACACAAGATAACTTTGGAATTTGAAGCAGGGCATGAAAAGTGGCATACCATCCTTACATTCACCAGTGTCGATACAAGGAATGTTGTGTAACTTATGTCCTATGGAGTGGAGATAGTTGACAGGCAATAGTGTACCGTATGCAACCCATCTGGCCCACTCAGCAGTGGCATGTCTGAAATTTTATTAAAACTTTATGCAAGATTTCAGACCTATCTCCTATACAGGTGATTGAACATTTAATGTTTGAGAAGCAATCTATGGATAGGCTTATATAATGATGATGATGACGACAATGATGTTATTTGTACCCCGCCACTATCTCCCCAAAAGGCAGCTAACAAAGCACAGCAAAGTGCCACACATAAATAGTACATAGACCTAAAGACAATAAAACCATGAAATTACAATCATACACGCATGCAACTACCCAATAAAATATTAACATTCATAAAACGCAGTCATAGCTGCAGATAAAAACAGGTTGTTTTCAATTGACACACCCACTGCCGAGGCAACGCCCACAGTAAATCCTTAGACTGTCCTTAAAAATCTACTCAAGATCAAAGGCTTGATTGAAAAGCCATCTTTTTAAACTGGATTGGAAGGTTTGAAGCAAGAAGGCTAACCTAATATCTCCACCACT